AATGTTTAATGGAAATTCCTCAAATAGTTGTAGAGATATTTCAGTCCAAACCAAAGTGGTGGACTGACAGACCGTCCTACAGACCGACAGCTATCCCCCGTGGTGCTGTGCTACGCTAACTTGGCTAAAACTACACCCAAAATATGAAAAAGCAGTCACGATTTTAACTCTACAGGCACAAAGCTGGCAGATATCCGTGCAGCCAGGATCTCAGTAATGTAATGTCCGTGCAGTCCTTTGGTTTAATTAAGAAAAGCTGTTTCTGTATGAAGCCTTTTATTTACCCATACTCCCCGAGGAGCCCTGCAGTTCGCTTCTACCTATTCTGGTTTGCCTCTAATCTTAACTTTCTTATTTTGACAACCACTGACTCAGGGTTTGATCAGGGCATCATTATTACATACAAACACACACACACAGGGTCCACTCTCTCTGCCTCTGGCTTTCAACCCCCTGCTTATAGTTTATTTTTTCTGTGGAGTGGTTCTCTGTTCCTGGTCTGGTTATTAGCGTGGTGAGTCAGCTATTCATTCAGAACAGAGGAAGGGGGGGTGGGGATGGTTTGGCTTTGATGCTTTTATTCCTGAATTATTTTTTTACCTTTTATACTGATTTGTGATTCAAGATCACCCATCAGAAAGAGTTTAAACTGCAATCAGTCGCCTTTACAGAACACACCAGTGTTACACTGGCTTTGTTGGCTTTTAACACACAGACTTTCGGTTTGTCTGAATGATCATGCATCTGTTGTTGGTTTTAAGTGAAATCGAAATATCTCTTTTGGATTGCAGGCAGACATTAAAAAATAGGAATAGGTTGCGATACGGAGCTGCAGAGGACTGTTCACCTGCAATCACACCTCTTTTATCCACGTTGGATCAGGAAGAGCAGGATAAGAGTTGAGTGAATAAATTAGACAATGATTGTGCTCTAGTGATGTCAAGTGAAGTTCCATATGATGGATGGGGTTAGCTAATCACCCCGAAGCACATTTGATCTAATACATTCAGGTAATCATCCCCTAGTTCAAAGCGAGTCATGAAAAATAGTTTTAAATGAAGAGAAAAGAGAGTGATGTTGATATAAAAAACGAGATAAATGAACAATTAACACAAGGACACAGAATTAAAACTTGTATTTGTGTCTTAAACTTCATCATCAGGTCACAATTTGAATTTGTCCAGTTGTTTATGACCAAATACTTCAAAACTAGACAGCCTCTGCTGTACTTTGTGATTAGTTATGATCATTATGAAAACTCAGTATGCTAACATGCTAAGCTACAGTAGTCTGCCTTTAAGCATTGTCACAGTGAGCATGTTAGCATGCCTCGCCACTAGAGAGACTTTTAGAGAGTGAGAGCTTGTTAAAGGAAGATAATTGTTGTGAGGTCTGCTTTGTGTGCTTGACAAACATCCATATTAAACTGATTTTTTTTTTCTTTCAATAGAGTAACCTTTAGTCATTTTCATATAAAAGGTTGAAACAATTTGATTTGGAATTGTGTTTATTATGTGTCCTGGTTTTTATTTTTCATAAATTAATACAGTACAGAATAACCAGATGATCCTATAACGTATTTGTTAAATGCAAAAACGTCTCACTTTGTTAAAAACAGGACACGGCATGGTGACACTTTTATATGTTGCACTGGTCATCAGCATACAAAACATCAATAAATATACAATGTTCAATACACATGTAATCGTGTTATAGATGTTTTTACATTATATGTGAAATTATGGTATTCTGGAAATTGTGAATAGTTAATAATTTAAGTGATATATGTGCACTCATATCATAGGTCAAATTTGGCTAAATTAAGAAAGCCATAAGTGGTCCTAAATGAAAATCCTGCTTATTGCTGAGCTGAACCAAATGATCTGGCTCACTAGAAAGAGCTTGAATTCTCATCAATAGCTGATGTGGAGGTTATTTTTCCTCTGGTCGTGTTATTAACACTGAAGGTTGTTGTGACTAATACGACCTCAGCTCAACTAAATCAAGGTTAACCGATTATTTGATAGATCATGAAAGTGAAACTCTAAAAGTAGAACGAGGAGAAAGTCGGTGAGGGAAGGGGGGAGCAGAATAAGGAAGAAGGCTCCAGTGTGCTATTTAAATTAATAAAAACATATCAGTAATGCATTTAAATGTTTTGACACAATGGAAACTATTCATACACTTCCTTGCAAGTGTTATGAAAAAGAAATGTGAGCTTAAGATTAAAGAACATACTCTGTGGACTGCTCACAAGTACCCTCAGGCACCATATTGAAGAGTCTACAGCAGGCGGTCTCCACCATATTGGAGCCCTCCTGCCGTCTTATTAATATTTATCCCTTTATTTATTTTCTTGAAGGTTACTCGTGTATAAAGTTACCCAGTTGCCTATAGTTTTTTATCCCAGGTTTTACTGTAATCAGACCTAAATTACACAAACAGGATGCAACACGTGGATATATTTTAGTGCTGGTCACCGTGGGCCGCCGTCTCCTCGCTGTCGCATTTAAATAGCATTTCTCCCCCCGCGGTAGCTGTTTAAGCGTACAGCATAATAACAGTGAAAGTGTTTGCACTTAACCGAGACGGCTTTAAAGTCTTTGAAAACATTCCCATAAAACAACAGAGCACTAATGGATTGAACTTATCCTGCTGAGACGTCTTTTAGCAGCTCACAGATTGCATGACTGAAGACCTCAGTAAATGGATGGGAAAGTGCACGGATTTGTGATTTAGAGATTCTTTCAAAATCTGGAGTGGCCCCTAAAAAAAAAAAAAAAAAAAAGAAAAACGGATATGCATAATTATGTGCATAATGATTAATTACAGTCGAGCTCTGTTGAGTGCTTTTCAATACATGGGAAATTGTGTGTGAGTGACAGCTTTATTGATCACAGAGCTGGGAAGATTATAGCCCCGTGAAAACTGCAGTTAGTAATGTAATGTATTAAATTCTGTGGAGAAAAAAAAAAGGATTTATCCGTTTGAGTGTTCAAAGGGCACACACGTCAAAACTAACAAGTAAACTGAATTTTTCACTCTTCAGAAGTCAGAATCTTTCTCTTCACTCGTGTGCCATATGATTTCTGATGCAGATAACCTTTTTTCATATGTGCACAATCATTTATTTATTCCTCATAACAAGCAGAACAAGCACACACAGTATGCATGCTGTGCAGATCTTGTGCATTATACATGTTGGATGTTTTTATTTTTACCACCTCTGTCACAACATCAACTATTCAGCAAGAGGCAGAGAACAAATGTTACCTGATGTCCCCTCGCTGAGGTGAAGGCGTATCGATCCCATCAGGCGCACGTCATACACATGGACTTCAACGTTTATGTAATGACTGACTTATTTATGAAGTACAGTAAAGTGCAGCCACTGTACGATCTGACACATTTATGCTTTTGCATTTTGCGGAGAGACTTTTCTGTCAGCTGGGGTCGGTTCTTACAGATGTTAAACAAGCCAGCAGGGTTCACAGAACATGTGACCAGTGAGTGGGAATGAGTGTTTAGTCAAGGTCACATGCCGCACAATTTCACTTCTGGAAGGCATTCATAGTGTTATATATTGGTTGTTTACATAAAGAAATGCCAGAAATAGTAATAACAGGACTCTGATGGTTGGATCTTGTGTGGTCAACGTGCTCCTTAGGATGTAATTGAAGATAGTTCGCTTCTATTCATTCTGAAAGAGCAACGACCAGTGGTATAACTTCATCACTACACTGAGTGAGTCAGGGACAGACAGAGCTTGAGAGTTCAAGACCTGGCTCCCTCTCCCTCCTTCGTGCAGCCGGACAATCACAGTGTGAAGTGAGTGTGAATGTTGTCGGTTTCAGAAACGTACAGAAATTCTGACGTGTCGGAGGGGGGTTTGCCAAGCTCTTCAACTGTCCGACAAGCAGTTCTGATGACGTACGCTGACGCCTTAGGTTGCGGCCTCGCAGAGCTGTAGACTCTTAAGTCTCGCTCACGTGAAACAAACACAATTCTTTGTCCCTTCAGGTTTTGTCGGTACGAGTCAAAATGTTGTTGTGGCTCGCCGTGCCTTTCATTTGCCTTTCTTGATAGCGCCGGATGTGTTTTTTTCCCCACTCAGATTGATGTCTGCTTCTGCAACCAGCAGTCTCTCGCTGACTTGATAGATGGCCGAAATGTTTAAACTGCCCTTGGCAGGACCCGAACTCTTTCTCAACAATTACTTGGTTGGTTTGTTCTTTCTAATCATAGATATGTCATTCTGTGCCATAACGCTGAACAATAGCCTGCTCCAAGCGTTAGCAGCTAAACTCCCTCTCTCCCTCTCTCTGTCCCTTTCACTTTACATCCCTGCTCTCCGTTACTCCCTGCTCTCCCACTCTCTCACCCATTCTCTCTGCATGGGTTATGTGACTCATGAAACACTAAACGCTCTAATGCAAGATTAACTCTTCGCCGAAAGAGGCCGAAGCTCCATATTGATACGTTTCCGTCTATTTACTGTCGTGCACTCATGGCTGTTTAAACATGTCATGTGTGCTTTTTGCTGATATCTCGCACGGCTTCAATGTAACATCTGTGTCTCGGCTTTTGCTTAATAATTTAATTCTACGTTTCTTCCTGGCTGGGATGCTTGGTCTCCATGGTAACATCAGGTCCATTATAAGTGCCATAAAGAGCATGCGAGGGAATGTTAAATCACCAGTCTGCCAGTCTCCATCATCTCACTGGTTTGATTGTGTAATCCACAAACCCACGGGAAGACGTCCTTCTCCCTCTTCTATCATTTTCTCTTCCACTCTCCTTGTCTAGCCCTCTTTTTCTCTCTTTTTCTGTCACACATGTTCCTTTTCTCTCACACTATCTCTGTTGTATACACACATGTTCACACAAACACACACGCACATATAAGAAAAGAGTCCAACACTGACCCCCAGTGGAAAAGCATTGTTAAGAAACTCTTTTCTGTTTTACAGCTGTGAAATCTTTCCTCATGTGTCTCTCAGGTCTTCACTCGCTATGGGAAGTGTTACACCTTTAACGCCGGCGATGATGGACGCCCTCCACTCATCACCACCAAGGGAGGTATGGGTAATGGACTCGAGCTCATGCTGGACATTCAGCAGGATGAATACCTGCCTGTCTGGGGAGAAACAGGTGAGTCAGGACATCATTCACTCCAATCATCGGCTGCCAGGTCTGATTATCTGTCTCACTCTAACAACAGTGTGTGTGTGGGTGGTCTGTGTGAGTGTTAATACCTCAGAGTATGAAACTCAGAGATAAACCTCTTCTAAGTGTCTGGATTCATTAGGGAAACACATTTTCACGCCACGTGGCAATGATTCCTCATTATTTGACTTCCTGCAGATGAGACATCATTTGAAGCTGGGGTCAAAGTTCAGATCCACAGCCAGGACGAGCCGTCCTTTATTGACCAGCTCGGGTTCGGAGTGGCACCCGGGTTTCAGACGTTTGTCTCCTGCCAGGAACAGAGGGTACAAGTCATCTTTATATGTACATATGGCATTTGTTAAAGAAATCTTAAAGTGTGGAGGATTTAGTGGCATCTAGTTGTGACGTTACAGATTGCAACTCACTGAAAACCTTTCGCATCTGCATCTGACAACCTGAGAATGAGAACTACAGTAAGTGTGTAGGAGAAGCAACGGCAAAAATCGCCCTATCTATCGCCAGTGTTTGGTTTGTCCATTCTGGGCTACTGTAGAAACATGCTGGTTCAACATGATAGGTGATTATACGTTATATATAAGTTAAAACATACCTGTGAATATTAAATTAAATTTTTGCCAATAGATCCAGCTAAATGTTACAAACTGGACCTTTAAGTTCTTCATGACTAAATAAGTAAAAAATAAAAGTAAGTTTGTAAAAAAAAAATAGCATCCTTTGTTATTATGTATTTGTTAGATGTCAGGCTGCTTCATCAGGACTGCGTAGGTGTAGTTTGATCAGGTTTGATTGACGGTGGGTTGGCAACATAAGCAACAACCCCACAACTGTCCTCCTGTTGTCATTCAAATGCTAAATTCTGATTAGTGCAAGGACGCATATCACATCACCTTTATCCAACTGAGCCAAACCACTTACGTTTATTCATCTGGCAGACGCTGTTGTTTCAAAGTGACTGCTCTAACTCTGGCAGAAAATATTGTGTTCATGTAGGATCACATCACTTGTGGTATATGACATGTATATTAATATATGATATATGACATATATATTAGTCATGTAAGCATTGTACTCATGAAAGTAATTGCTGAGATATGGAGAGAGAGAGAGAGATAAGGGCAGACAGAGACAATACAATCATTACCTGGTGATAAGCTGATATAGTATCTCTCGTCATTATCGTCTACATAGTCCTCAGTTCAGAGTTATTTATTAACTATTCATCACTGATCAGGTCTTTCTTGCTCAGGATATCATGTGTCTTATTGTGAAGTGTTACCTGATGTTTGAACTAACACTTTGTGTATTTGTTCTTAAATGTGTCTTCATTTTCTCTCCCTAATGAGTTTTCCCAACCTGGGGTTTGTCTGTAACTTATTTTTAGAAAACTGGAATTGTTTCTTGATCTCAGCTAGTAGTAGTAGTTTTTATTACTGAAAGGAGCCAAAACTGTCAAGATATAAGATATAAGTTGTAATAAACCAGAATTATCATTTTAAATCACATTAATAGAATAAACATTTGATTTAGCTGTTTTATTCTTCTGTTTTCATGATTAATTCTTCTCTCACTGGCAGCATCCTGCTTTTGATTCATGCGGGTACACATAGTATACTTGAAGTACTAATACTATTTCTAAGTGTGGAAACTTTTAATGTCTTGTATCGACTTGCCTCCTGACGCTGCCTTTCGGCCAGGCCGTCATTGTAAATCAGAATTGGTTCTCAGTTGACTTATGTGGTTAAACAAAGGTAAAATAAATCAATAGAGTAGAAAAACTGCTTTAATATGTGACGTGATGTCTGATGTGTTGTTGTTGCAGCTGATCTATCTTCCTCCGCCCTGGGGAGACTGTAAGGTGACGGCCATGGATTCAGACTTCTTTGATAGTTACAGCATCACGGCCTGTCGCATCGACTGTGAGACGCGCTACCTGGTGGACAACTGCAACTGTCGCATGGTGCACATGCCAGGTAGGACACCACTCTTGCCCTACGTTGTATCAGAGTTACATCAATGATGCTGCAGTGTAAAAAAAAAAAAAAAAAAAAGACTGTCAGCACTTCAAAGCCTAAAAAAAAAAAAAAAGAAATTGATGCGAGTGTGTGTTGCTTTGGCTCCAGGCGATGCACCCTACTGCACCCCGGAGCTGTACAAAGAATGTGCTGACCCAGCTCTTGGTAAGAAAAATGGCCTCGTCCCTCTGAATCTTTAAGGAACTGATACAAAGAAAACACACACACACACATACACACACACACATACACACACATATCATCGCACGACATCTTTAAGTCACAGCCGCATGGATCTGCTCAAAAGGTCAAGCTGAGCTTCTGGCTTTCTTCTCTCCAGATTTCCTTGTGGAGAGAGACAATGATTTCTGTGTGTGTGAGACGCCGTGCAACATGACCAGATACAGCAAAGAGCTGTCCTTTGTCAAGATCCCCAGCAAGGCCTCGGCTAAATATCTCGCAAAGAAATACAACAAATCTGAGCAGTATATTAAGTAAGGATCAACCATTCTTTAATGCTCTTAATTACTTCCTTTTTTTTATACATATATATATTCTTTAGTGCATGATTAAAGTATCTGATTACACTGGATTACTTCTGTAATTGAAAAATATTCATACAAGATATTGTTTTGTTAAAGGAAAAATGAAAAAAGGAAACAATATATAGCCTATAAAAGAAAAATGTCACATACATGATTATATATTTAATTTATAAATCTTTAAAAAGGAACATACTTATAATGAAAAGTTATTACCAAAAATAAAGAAAAATACATTCATTAATCAAAGATAAGTTAAAATGGGGTAACGCTTCACTCTAAGTCCCCTTATTGAGCATTTATAATCAGTATATAAACATTTAATACATTGTTTATAACTCTCTATAATGCAGTTAATTTCTCATATTAAGATATATTTTATTACAGTTGTGTTCCTATATTGTCATTCATTAAGTGAAGGTTGTATGGAGTTATAGTTGTTAACGCTTATATCTGTTTAAACTACATGTTTATGCTGCGTATTAATGCTGAAAAAGGTGACTTAAGTGTTTCCTAAAATGGAAAATTAATGTTTTGACTCTTTTGCTTTCCTCTGCAGGGAGAATATTCTGGTGTTAGACATCTTTTTTGAGGCTCTCAACTATGAAACTATTGAACAGAAGAAGGCTTATGAAGTGGCTGGACTATTAGGTACAGATTTATTACATTATATACTGTAGATGGGTTATCTTTCTCTCTTTATTATAGATTATTTTTATCTTCTTATTTCAGGTGATATCGGTGGTCAGATGGGGCTTTTTATTGGGGCGAGCATACTCACCATACTGGAGATATTTGACTATCTTTATGAGGTGAGACTCATATCTTACTGCATGTATATAAGTATTTACTTTATATGGAGCTGCAGCTACCATCAAGGGCACCGAGGTCATGTGTATGTTTTTCTGGGACTGTAGGTGTTTTCTTTCTTCTTTCTTATTTCTTTAGTTTTAGATTCAATATGTTTAAATCTGACTCGATTTAGGCCAACAAAGAACTAACAAAGAAAATGAAACAGTATTTTTCAATCACAGCTTTATTACTGACGTTGGAAAAGGCTTTGAAACAGTATTTAGATCTCCATGTGAGTTATCTGAAAAATCTTAATATGAAAAATAGAATAATTAGAAACATTTCAAGTTGTATTGTGGAGACTTCTGGAGAATTTCTAAAATGCTGCATGCAAACACATCGTGTCTCTTTTCCCAGAATCCTCGTCCAAAAATGTGTGTTTATCATGGTTGACCTTCTCCGTTTTTCTCTCTACTCAGGTGATAAAGTACAAGATGTGTCGCTGCTCCAATAAGAAGCACAAGCACAACAACAACAACGACCAGGGAACGGTGCTGAGTTTAGATGATGTCAAGTGTCACGTCAGTAACTTCCACTAGGCTCCGGCAGGCGTGAGGGGGAGGGGTTTATTCGCCGCTGAACTCTCCTGTCTCTGAGCGTATTCGTGGACTTTGTTCATTGCAGTTTGTCGGACTGCGGGAGAAACGTAAATGTTTGAACTCTGCCTGTTTAAGGTTTGTGAGCAACAAAATACAGCATGTGGCCGAAGTCAGAGGAAGCCACGGCAAAAGACGGCAGGACAGCAGAATTCAAAAGTGTCAGAATAACTGCATGGTCATCTGTAAAACAGCTTCTCAAGACATAGTAACAGATACAGTAAATGGGGGCATCAACTAAGCTACGGTTCATATTTTGTTCAGTAAATCTGCTTTAGAAATCTCAGCTGTGTTGGTGTGCGTCATCTGTCAATCTGAAGAGGGTTTTTTGTAAAATAATTGATGTGACAAATTCATTTTCACTTACAATGAATTGTTTTTTAACTATTTTAGGTCTTTTTTTTTGGGGGGGGCGTTTGCATGTCAGTGCTACTCTTCGTTTTTCACTTGTGTCCTTTGCAGTTTGCTTTCATCTTTGCTTATTTGTTCTTGACTTTTCCCCCATTTTTTATTCATGTCTTGCCAGCCTCGACTTATAAAAAAGTCTTCCCTTGTTAAAAAACCTGAGCATTTTGCCAGTATACTGTACTACCTCATCTTGCAAGGGTGACACGAAGAATTTACAACCCAATCAAATTAATAACAAAAAGGTCACTTTCCTTTATGAAAATGAGCAGAGCGAGCACATGTAACATTTACAGCATTTTTTTTACACAAGACATTTTGACTTGCAGCAGGAATAGAACAGGTGTAAATAATAAACAATGATGGCTGAATTCCATTTAGCTGTTAGTTTCAGGTCTTGTATAGTGCAGTCTACAGGGACATACAACATCACGACACAGAGCCTTTTATTACTGTTATATAAATGTGTTTTTTCCTGCTACGACAAGTGAAAAAAAAAGTGTGAAAAAAGGCCACAATTAAGGGACAATCCCAGGATAATGTTAGTATGTAGTGTAACAGAAGTATAAGACTCAGAAAGTCAGAAAACTGACGGCTGTAACGTCCATTAAACAACAACTAAAGTTTGTAAAGTAAGCTTACATTAGCCACTATAAGCTACTGGTCATATCGGACCAAGTACAGCTGTAGCAACAACAAGAAACCCCTGAGTGATTTGACTTCCGGGACATAAGTTTGTTCGCTTTCTGGTGGAGAATTAGATCAGAAGAAGAAGAATACCACTCGGTGAGCTTAGTTTAGCATAAAGACTGCAAACAGCTACCCTGACTGCGTCTGGTGATAATAAAATGCACCTGAAGCACCAAAGCTTGCAAATTAACACGTTATATCTAATTTGTTTAATCTGTACATTTTCTACATTCTACAGTTTTACAGATTTTGACTTTGTGGCGTAAACATAAAGGTGACGGTAAGAGTCCAGGAAGTCATGAAATAGTCCGCCACATAACTTCTCCGTAAAACCACAACGTGTTGTTTTTACTCTTTAAAGGTTCAGTGTGAAACATTTAGGAGGCTCTATTGGCTGAAATGGAATATAATATTCATTGGTATGTTTTCATTAGTGGATATCACCTGAAAATAAGAATTGTTGTGTTTTTATTATCTTATAATTAGTCTTGAATTTTAAACAAATTGCAGAGGTTTCTATATTGTACAACAGAGTTATAAAAACCCTAACCCTAACAAATTATGTTTATATATTACACAGAAACTTTTATAATGTGCAACAGTTTGCAAAGAATAAGCATCTTTATTTACAGAAGGGGCGGAGGGAGGAGGAGAAGAACTCTTTTTAAGGAGTCTGCCATGTTTCTATAGTAGCCCAGAACGGACAAACCAAACACCGGCTATAAGGGCGTTTGTGATTTTCATCAGTTTTGCAGCCACCGTAGTTTCTCCTAAACTTTTGGAAAAGGAGCTGTAGTCAGTCTTGCCACTAAATCCTCCACACTGGTCTTTTCATTTGATTTATGCTAAGCTAACCTGAATGGCTGCAGACTGTAGCCTCATATTTAACTGAGAGTGAGAGTAAATCATTGAGTAAATGAGCTGAAACAAGTATTCTAAGATGAAAAAAGAGTTGAATGGATAAACAACAAAATTCAGTGTACACATATTATGAACCGATGTTTTAAAAAGCTCTCCTCCACATCAACCAGGTGCTACATACTGTTTGATTTCGATTCATCGACAAACCACTGTTTACTGTCGCTCTCAGAACTATAAAGACTTCAATGCATTAATTTAGGGGAATGTCATACATTTGTACGTGCTTTTCATCAGCGTGCGAACACGGCGAGATAAAAAAATTACTGAGTATAAATATGTTGAATGTGTTTTGCCATCTTCTAGGGCTCCGAGTTGCATGTAGCATTTTGTACAGTAGGCGTCTTAAACGTGTGTCGTCATCCGTCTGCGCGTTCGGTTGTATATATTGTGAGCATGTATGGATCTGTGTGTGTTCAATCTGAAGCTGGTTGGCAGGAAACATGGCGCCCTCATACCCAAAAAACACTATCTGTTATCAGTTAGGCTGCAAACATGTCGTGTGCATGTTTAAGGGGGTTTTGCCTCATTATTCGGACTCTGTTTACAAAACATTTTACAATATTTGGTTTTAAGAGATTCCCATTGAGCTCTATGTTAACAGGGGAATGGGGGAACTGTATAGTGTGTAGCTGTGTAGTGTTATTATCAAGCACAATCATACCATCAACTGTAATGTAAATGTAAATATTGCTATTGATAATAATCGTGTTAGAATAGGCCGATCTGTCCGTAGTATTTATTTAACGTAGAGTAGTTGTGTGTCTCAGCTTCATTTTTCTGTATATATGAAAAGTATATTTATCAAAGACAATATTAAAGTATGATGCCATTTCTTTTGTATTTGCTAAAGTCACAGCAGCTTAAACCTGAAGAATGAACAGCTGGATTGTTATTTTCCACCGCACGAGTACATCAAAAACAAAGTCCTTCCAGGCTGCCGTTGCTTTTTCTGGGTTTTTCTTATATTTTTGCCTCCATTTTTAATCCTGTTTAACTTTAATATACGAAAGGTTGGTTATTTTAGTCTGGTGATGTGTAGATAAATCATGAACTTGAAGAAGTTGTTATATTAAAGATTAAATACTAACTTTACGTAACTTTTATTCACTTCGAGGTGTCACGTGTCATCATTTATACTCTGGAATATTATGTGTGTTTATATATCTGAGAGTCAGTATCTGGGTGTGAAACACAAATTAATCTACAGCAGAAACAGATTTGTTTTCACTGTATATTATTTTCTGTACAGATTTCCACTTGTTTACCATTTTCAGTCATGCCAGGCTCTCGGGATGGTGATCGGTCCAAACATTTTTTAATAATTTCCTTGACGTCAGATCCCACCGTGAGGTTCACATCTGGAGAATCTGAGTCAACAACTGTCAGATGGATTTCCAACTTTCCACATTAATGTTCCCCCTCAGGATGAATTGTAATAACTTTGGGCTTTTTTTTTTGCTCTTCTCTGGTGGGTTTATGTAATTGGTTGGTGGGTCGTCCATTTGGGACCATATATACTGTCAGTGCTTGGGATGAGCCCCCATTTTGTCAGGATCTTCTCAAAGGGAGAAAATGCACCAAAAAATTAACTTAAACATTCAAAGAGTACTTTAAAGGTCCAGTGTAAAATATTTAGGAGGATCTATTGGTAGAAATGTAATATAATATTCACAGGTATGTTTTCATTAGTTTATAATCACCTAAAAACAAGAATTGTTATATTTTCGTTACCTTAGAATGAGTCTTTATCTATAGACATCACAGGTCACATTTCAATAAGGCCGCCATGTTGAACCATGTTTCTACAGTAGCCCAGAACGGACAAACCGAACACGGGCTGTAGATATATGGTCATCTGTGTTTTTTGTGAGTTATGTGTCCACTATAGTTTCTCCTTTGCACTTAGAAGAGGAGGGTGAAGCAGGGAAGTTGCAACTACTGGACCTTTTTAAACTAACTAATTTATTTCCAAAAAACATGAAGTTACAAAAGAGTTGTGGATGGCAGCAAACTCAGTGGTGTAAGTGAGTGAAATATGTGGCAAAATATGGCAACATAAGCACACGGAGAGAAAACTTCTTCCTGAGAGGGTTTAGTGACTGACAGTGCTCAGTGGTCGGAGCTACATACCAGTTACATAAAGATAAGAACAGGACAGAGAGCCGTCATGTTGGTGCTAAGCTAATGCAAGCATGCTAAAACACTACACTCAAGATGGTGAACATTACACCTAAAACATCTGCATTGTTTACATTGTTATTGTGAGCGTGTTCTCATCCTAACGTTAGTATTTAGCTTGAAGTAGAGTACAGCCTCACAGAGCTTTTAGCTCAGTGAACTGTAATCACATGAGGAAAACACTTGTGACTTCATGACACTTTATGTTTGTGGTGGAGTTATATCATTAAAACTCTGTGGTGAGCTGGATTTGTTCAGTTTATGCTTGCTCGTAGAAACCACACTGCTGAATCTGGAGTTTTGCTCCTTCCTACGTTCCTTTATTCTCCTCGTTTGTCCAACTCTTACGCAACAAGGTCCTCTTTTGTTTGAGCCCTCCAGACCAAATAATTTCTCCCACAGTGATCTTTTCTACATTTGCTTTCATGACTTTTAATGTGCTGGCTTTATTTTGCACACAGGCTGCATCCTGTGAGCGCGCTGTAGAGCGAGCGAGGCATTTTAAAATAGAAAAGGTTTGTAGGGCACTAATCAGACACAGTGCTACAGTAAAGTGTTTAAAAAGTACTTTTAAAGGTCCAGTGTGAAACATTTAGGAGGATCTACTGGCAGGAATGTAATATAATATTAATCTGTATGTTTTCATTAGTGTATAATCACCTGAATGTGGGAATCTTTGTGTTTTTGTTACCTTAAAAATGAGCTGTTTATATCAAAATGTATGTAAACATATAGGATGTTGTAGCTCGTGGACGTTTTTAACCACTTTGTGTAATATTAGGAAGTTTGGTTGCCAGTTTATAAGTGTGTTATCATCGTGGGATCATGAGAGGTGTTTCCAACATTCTCCTTTTTGCAGATTATACTGATATTACACATATTGTACATATATATGTAATATAATATACATAATATACATGATATATATATATAGCAGCAGCAGCTCAAGATACAACACAAGATAAAAGATAAGAAAAATACACATAAAAATAAAATTGAAAATAAGAGTTATATGTAGTATTTTTATATATACAGTTATGTATAATGGAAAATTGCACTCAGTGTGTTTCATTACACTAAAAATATAAATATAATATTGTCTTGAAGGATGGAAATTGCAGAAAGATTAAACACACACAAACAAAATATACATATTCATAGTATTTTAACTATTCAAATGTGGAAATTATACTTTTGTTTTGTAGAAAAACAGACACACATTATTGTTCCAAGCTGATTATTGTATATGTGTCTTAACCTGGTGGTTTGGAGTCACACTAGGGGTCAACAAGGCTTAACATGGGAGTCATGAGGCAGTCTAGATTATAAATGGTGGAAGAAAACTTAATGCACACTGTCGACCTGCAGCATTTCTTTCATTTCTGTGAAGAAAACTATATTATTATAAAGTTTAGATTACAATTTAAGATCTAAACGTTGAACTCTCTTCTTAACAGCCTTGTCCTGCATTAGAAATGTACACAGTTAAAACAAATAAAAGAGCTAATAGAACAACAAAAAAACACTGAATTTGCCAAAAAATTACTAATATAATTGTTAAAAATAAAACAAAAATACACAATACAGACAGACAGTTATTGCATTTAACTCTCTGGGTTGAATGTACAGTTTATTCTGCTATTCTTATTGTTGTTATTGTTGTTATTGTTGTTGTTGTTGTTGTTATGCATTGAACATGATCATTATAGACAGTTTTTTCTGTCTATCACATGAATCAGACGTGTCACACTGAGACTTTTGACCGATTTCCCTTTGCACCCACTAACTCTCCACCGCTCGGTGAATGAATGACCAGACTTGGCCCCCCAGCTCCGGTGGGCGGGCCGGTGTCTCCGCCCGCCTCGGACAGGCCAATAAAACCGGAGCGCTGGTTGCATAACCGTACTGCGGCTCCACAGCGGCAAGTCAGCGTCCGTCCACCTCCACCTCTCATCGGCTTCACCTTCGCAATGGCAGCTCCGAAGAAAGTCTGCATCATTGGCTCTGGGAACTGGTGCGTTGTCGTTGATTTAATGTGTTTTTAAGAGTAAAGCCGACGCAGGGGGTTTAAACATGGCGAACTTATTCGAGTGCGTTGCTAAGGCTCAGCCCGGTGCACCGTTGCTAACCAACTTAGCATCACTAGGCAACCAGCCAGCTAACGTTAACCAGCCACGTTTAAGTTTGACGTTTGCAGGTTTATTTTATAGCATTAATAACTACTGATATATAGCGTTATTTATTTATTTTTAAAACACACAAACCAGTTTTTAGCTTTCATTCACATACTGCATCATTTGGCTGAGTGTACAGAAATCTGGCCACATGTCAGTCACGATTAATGGGATTTATTTTATTAATTTAATGTGTCAGCTCCACTGTCCTCAGCTAGCCTCACAGGACAAATGTGTTTTTAATTAAGTGTTATTTTACGGCCATTATCTAATCGTAACCGTCCACAATGGGCTTTAAGATACAGTCCGGTTGGTGCTTTTCTGTCGCCAAACTCCATTTAAAAGTCTCCTGGTTTAAAGTAACGTCGTTGATTTCAAAATCCTACTGAGATTAAACATAATTTCGAGTCATGATTGAATATTTAAAGTGTTCTGGGTAAATCGGCACATAGCTTTGGTTTGTCGACTCAACAGATTGATTGTATTTGTTGTTAAAAACCTGTTTTTATACACTGTTTTTACGATTGTTGGAAACCCAGCAAAGACGCTTTATGCTTTGTTTTTAAGCCGAATTAAAGCGCTGGGAGCATTGATCAGAAGAGTGCCTCAAAATCATGTATAACCCATTATGTAACATTACTGTTGTGCAAACACGTAAAAACAGCAGATTTCTCAATGGAGTCTGGCGCAGTGTTGCCTCCACAGCAGAGCAACATCGAGGGTAGACAGCCACGTTATCTCATCTTATCTTGAGTCCAGCCTGCCAGGTCATTGTGCTCAGAAAACAGCAGGTTCACAATCAAAGAGCCACCAACAGGGAACACATGAGGAGCCATAATTAGGTAATGACCTGTTGATCACATCAGCCCTCACATGAGAGCAATAACTCAAAAAGGGTTTAACATCGAGACTCAGAAGGCAAAGTCGCTGGATGTTGGATCATTTTAACCACCTCCGCTTGTTCTAAGTGGATCTCTTACACACCCACACTCTCTGTTTTCTTCCCATGTGACTTTAAATTCACAGATTTATTTTAAAAAGCAGTGTGAAGTTGTAACATGAGGAGTTCTTATGTCATTTCAAACGCTAACCTCTGACTGTTAACACAACAGGGGCTCTGCCATCGCCAAGATAGTGGGTGCCAACACCGCTCAGAATCCAAAATTTGACGACATCGTGAACATGTGGGTGTTTGAGGAGATGGTGAATGGCCGAAAACTGACTGAAATAATCAACACTGACCATGAAAATGTGAAGTATCTCCCCGGGCACAAGCTACCAGCTAATGTGGTAAGAAAGCTCCCTGTTCTGCCTGTCGCTCGGATACTCTGTGCTCATAAAATGTTTATTATTTTGAGCCATTCCTCCATCACAAGCCTCCACAGTAGATTATTGGCCTCGTTTATAATGAGTTGAATCACTTTAACACCAGTTTTCTGTCGGGATGTAACGATACACTCGACTCGTGATTCAGTACGATTCACAATTTGTTTAATAGTATTTTTGTTCTGTTTTAATATAGATTTATGACTGAAAAAGGTTCCTTATAAAACCTACAAAATATTCTTTCTTTATCATATTAAAGAATCCTTTTTTATTTCTGAGATAGAGTATGAAATCTCCAAAACAATGTATATTTCCTTTTCTTTATAAAAAGTGAAACTGAGTCTTTACACCTCGATACAGCTACTGAAACTTCTGTTTTATAAAGAGTATCACCGATTAGATTTTTCACACATTGTTGTCGTGATTTCACCGACTCGTGATACATCTTTTACGTCTCTGTTTGACTGTCCTGCTTCCCTCCTCAGCTGGCCGTCCCCGACCTGGTGGAGGCGTCCACGGATGCGGACATTCTGGTGTTCGTGATCCCGCACCAGTTCGTTGGGAAAGTGTGCGACACCATTAAAGGCAAAATAAAGACCGATGCGGTCGGGATATCGCTCATCAAGGTTCGTGCTGCATTCTTTTTATAATATCTATGAATATTTCACCTCTTTGTGATGATTCATGTTGTGTCACAGACTCGGGTTCCAGCGGCTGTCAGCCAGTTGTGCATTGTGGTCTTTGACCCAAATACCAGCTCGGTATGGCCTCGTGTAAATAAACGACTTGGTGTTTTTGTTTTGTTTTTCCGCCTCCAGGGTGTCGACGAGGGGCCCGACGGACTTAAACTCATCTCTGATGTGATCCAGGAGAAGCTGGGTATCACCATGAGTGTGCTGATGGGGGCCAACATTGCCAATGAGGTTGCTGATGAGAAGTTTTGTGAGACCACCATTGGTTAGTGTGACCACCGTCAGCGATAGCCTAAATTTAATTTATATAATTGCAAAAAATAATGTCTGCTGCGCGACAGAGTGGAGTCACTTTCATTGATTCAAATGAAATGTAGGTCAAGCTGAAACGAGTGAATAATTCAACCACAATGGTAATGATGGCAGGAAGTTCACAACCCAGAGAGCGATCTGCACTCGGAGCAATCGTAAAAAGCTCCGTTTGTAAATAATTCAGAAGAGCCAAATTATAAGAGGAGCTACATCAGCTGCTGGAGGCTGGATGACTACTGCGGCTAACGATTTAGCTTCCAGAGCTTCCAATCAAAGCACAGAAAATAAACATTTATTTTATATTATTTATTGTATTATATAACGGGGACAATAAAAATAGCTCCTGGGACACAAAGATACAGTGTCTGGGACAATTCTGGGACAGAAATTTATCATTTAAAAATGATCTACGCTTCATGTGATGTATCATTTTAATTGTTGGGCTCTACGTCACACGCTCACACACACACAGAATCAATCAGAGAGAGAGAGAGAGAGGGACCAGTGCTGCCAACTTGGCGACTTTCTTGCTGGATTTAACGACTTATTCAGACCAAAAGGTGAGGAATATATATGTTAAATTATATTGTAACTCATCGCCTTGCATGTGGCACAGCTCTCTGCCAACAGCACCGACTCTCTCTCTCTTCTCCTTCTCCTCCTCTCTCTCTCAGGCAGTCAGTACGTGTTTCTCTCTGGATCTTTGCATTGTTCCTATAGTTTGTATTTAAATAATTTGTTTAGGTTTGTAAATATTTAAATCGTTTTTAACCTTTTTACTTTAAATATAAGATGTCACTGTGGTGAGTTTGTGATTATTTGGCTAAATAATAATAATAATGTTCAAAGTGTGTATGTAAACTTCCATCATTGTATACCAGTCAGAAACAGGTTTGTGTTTGATTTATTGATCAAATAGTTACATATGAACAAGAAACAGTAACTCAACCAGGGATTCAAAAGAATAATGAAAACTGATTGTGGACAAAAACTTAGTTGTGACTTTAACACTGTGGAAAAAGGTTAATTTCAAACCCACGTCACAGAGAAGCTTCTCATCTTAAAATACTGGAGGAAAACAAAAACCCAACATTTGTATGTAACTATACTCTATATAGGAATCCATCTTTACATAGTAAACAATTTAATTTGAGCCAATATGATAATTATTCATTAATCAGTTTATTTCTTGTCTTTGCTTAGAATAGGATTGTTGTTTAAATCTAATCTAATCTTAAAGTTACAATAAGAAGGTTTTAGCCTTGAGGAAGTGTTTGTTGCAGTTTGTGTTCTCAATCTTTCTGCTTCGTCAGCATGGAGGTGAAAGTTTAATCTGCTGTGTAGCCGAGTGGGCGGGGACTGTTTGACATGCACGGCGTGCTTCAGGATTTACAACAACGCTAACCTGTTTTTAAACAGGATTAATATTTGTTGGATATTTGCATTACAGCTGTAAAAGTTGCAGAGCCGCTGGTTTTTAAATCTCCTCTTGATAAAATTCTACTAATTTTAAATGGTGGTCTTCTTCTAGAGACAATAAACTGGTTCTGTTTTCTGCTTCCAGGGTGTAAGAATAAAAACCACGGGGCACTCCTGAAGGAACTCATGCAGACCAACAACTTCAGAGTCACTGTCGTAGAAGAGTACGATGTGGTGGAAATCTGTGGAGCCCTGAAGGTGAGTTTTTATTACCAAACATCGCTGCATGCAGGTAAAGTGGTGCGACTGACATCTGAACTTCCACTGCGGTTTGTAACTACACTATTATGCAACATGCAAAATAGTGTAGCAAACTTCAACTAGAGCCCATTTAACAAACAGGACAGCTGCAAAACTGTTGTGTACACTGGGCAAAAAGTCAATGAACTAATGCGCCACCAGTGCAGCCCTGTCAAATCAGTCAGCTATGATGCCTCTTTGTAAAGGTAAAAGTACTTAATTATATACACCAGATTTAAAATAACAGAATGCTCACAAATCACAGAAAGTGACGTGTAGTTTGGTTTTCTAAGCAGTGACACCGACTGAATAAATCTGCCTCTTAGATAAATGCCCAACTCCAAATGTTTAATAAAATATAAAGCAGTGCACTTGCAATATTTATAGGCACAATCTTATTTATTTATTTTTTGGTCTCTGTGAAAGGTGTCAAGCTTGTATCCGCCTGGATGCTCAAAGTGCTGCCATTTAGTCTCCACATTTACATTTAATTTGGGCATGCATATTATGAGGATGAAATATATTTCATGGTGTTGTGAGTTAAAAGCCATTAGACATTTATCAAGCTCATAGGTGTCACACGCTTATGAATTAACGAGGGAGATGTAACCTGTACCTAATGTCTGTGTACCAAATTAGAGCTGAAACCCTTTAATTGATTGACGGGTGTCCTTTTCAGCTGTTTCAGACTTAACAAGCTCTGTCTCAAATTGACTCGCCAGGGGAAGTTCTGCTAGTAACTAAGAAATTGAAATCACAGTCAGTGTTTGGTTACAGTCAGTTTTCATTCTTTTAGTCACTGGTTGAGTTTCTGTTTCTTATTTTTACTTGGAACTATTTGATCAATAAATGCAAACCTGTTTCTGACAGCGATGTAAATTCATACACACACACACACACACACACACACACGAGTATTATTTAGTCAAGATCAAACTAACTTTAAATCTTTACAAGCTCAAACAAAGAATTAACCTATAAGTTACAGGAACACCTGAATCCAAGAGGAGAGAGTGAGAGAGAAGGTCAAACCTGCCCGACAGGCAACACCTGAGGAGAGGGAGAGACTTTGGACTGCAGTTACTCTGAGCAGCATGCATGAGAATGAATTATTATGAATCAATTACAATATAATCATGTATATTTTTCACCTTTTCCCCTGATAGTCTGTTGGTAAATTTGTCGTTTTTAGAAATAAAGATGCTAAGAGGGTCTTAAAAGTTGCTAAATCTTGAAGGAAAATCACCACGTTGACAACACTAAGTGATTGTGTGTGTGTGTGTGTGTGTAAGTGCATGTGTGACTTGGCGTAGAGCTCGTCCTGGTGCCACCTCATATTTTTTGGTTTTCGAGCGATTTCTGAAGGGAAGCACCCCAGAAGAAGTTTAAGAACCACTGCACTAAACCAATACTTTAAAAACAAATAACCTGCAGGTTAGTCGATTATGAAGATAAACCCACAGGCTGCAAAGTCCAATCTCCATCCAGTCCTGAAATAGTATTTTTCTGCATTGATGCTTCACAAACGTGGCTTAACGTCGTAATAACTTGCCTGGCCGCTGAGACTCACAATGTGATTTAATGACTAACAGTTGTATAACCTCTAAAACGCTAAAAAGGGACGCACTATAATTAATTCTCTAAATCTAATTAGAAAGTTGAGCATGGAAGTCCATTCACTGATTAGACTGTATTTGAGTGCCGTTACTATCCTCCAGGTAGTCGTCTTCAGCTCTTTACTTACCTCTCCTCCTCCTCATCCGTCCTTCAGAACATTGTTGCAGTTGGGGCAGGTTTCTGTGACGGTCTGGGCTTCGGGGACAACACGAAGGCAGCGGTGATCAGGTTGGGCCTGATGGAGATGATTGCCTTCGCCCGGATTTTCTGCACCGCCGGGCCCGTGTCCTCCGCGACCTTCCTGGAGAGCTGCGGCGTGGCCGACCTCATCACGACCTGCTACGGCGGCCGCAACCGCAAAGTAGCCGAAGCCTTTGTGAAGACGGGGAAGGTGAGAGCGATGACTTTCAAACACTACAACACTTTTTGAGACGATAAAATGTGTCCAACGCAGCCAAAGCTGAGGATCGCTTTTGGTTTGTTGACAAACGCTAGAAAAGGTCAGACTGTGCACACAATCAGTGATCTATGGTGGTAAAAGAGGTAGATCATTAAACCAGGGATGCTACACCGACTAACTCATCAACTGATGGATCGCATGTTTTATTGAAGAGCTAGAAACATAAATGATAAAGCATTACTTCTGTCGTATCTTTATCTTTTACATATCCTAACTAAAGCATTATGATGTTTCAGTGTTTGACCGCAGGCTCTAAAGTCTTGTTCTAAACCTCAGACTGGATATAACTTTTATTTTTATTGTAGCTTTCGAAGACAAAGTGCCTAACAATAAAAACATAAAATCTAAAAGATCAAATAATTTAAATGATTACTATAGATGCATATATATCTCTTAAAATAATAAATCACTTTTTACTTTGCTTATTCAAACTTTCACACTCAGTAAATATATAAAAATGGGTTCTACTCAACATTAAATACA